ACTTTCACAAGAATGAAACCATTCGGCATCCAATTTTTTTCGCCAATAATTTTCTTTTTACTAGCAATTTTTTCTCAATCTAATTTCTTCACCATCAATTTGTTCTTGAAACCACTTCTGATTTTGTGGGGACGGCATGAGTGGTCGTCTTTGAAAATGAGAGACACTGTACTTTAACAAAACATATATTAAACGCTAAATTTACATAAAGATGGACGATAAACAAACACATAAATAACACCAAAATAAATGAGTTCGTCTTCGTGAAGTTAAAAGAAAATTATCATTGCTACTCCTCTCTGGAATCCATAAGCGTCTCCCTTTTGGTTAGTTCCACAACGCTCTCTCGTGTCTTAGGGAAATTCGCACGGGGTCTAACTTGCAGCTTACATAATCTGGTTGGATTTCTAGCTAGATCAGCTTACAGCACAGGAACTTGCACTATAGATCGGAACTGGCACTACAGATGTTTTGTTAAAATACAGTGTCTCTCATTTTCAAAGACGACCACTCATGCCGTCCCCACATCCAAGACTCCGGACAATTCCGGCACAGCTTATCACGATCACATCATGATGAAAAGGACACGCAAAAACTTGTGCTCTTACGCTTTATACCAACACAGATTTGAGGTAAAAAGGCACACTTCGTACATTCCTTGTAACCTTACGCATTAAGGAAAATCATTTACTGCTTCCTTATATGGAAGTGAAAAAGGGAACGATTCTAAAAATAACTCTTCCTTTGAAATATAAATCTATTTATATTTCAATGGTATGTTTTCAACCTTGAATTCCTAAAATAGAATCTATATATATAAGGGCTTTACAAAAGTCGAAAAATGAATTATTAATGTGTGAACATTTTTCATAATAAACAGGGTATTCATAATTAAAGTTAGCATTTGCGTGCAGTTTGTATCAAAAAATATGCAGAAGAAATCTATAAAAATTAATTATTTCAGAAGAAATAATTGGAACTTTATCTAGCATAAAAAGTTAAACAAAAATAACATCACCAGTTAGCGAGTAATTATTTTATCGAAAACGTATACACATTATTATCAATATTTTGGAATATGTTACTAGCTCCTATTTACAAAACTTGCTTAATATGATGTCCACCATTGCAATATATCGATGTTATATCATCTAGATATATTTCCTTTAATTTACAAATATATTTTTGCCGTTAGGATTTAGAAACCCCCCCCCCCATTTTTTTTTTTAATAATAGGGAGATTTCGCACTTTTTACAATTTTTTCGTTTGCTTTCGTACGCTCCCCTTCGTAAATGAATTATTAATGTGTAGACATTTCATGTTCATGTTTCCGTTTATTTTAGATGCTACGTTTCTTTACGTTATGTTGGCGTGATTTGCGCTGCAAACGCAAAACTACAAGCACGCTGTTTATAGCTGTTAAATGTTATTTTCTGTTTAAATCTACCTTCGAACTAAAAACATGGGAATGGAATAGGAATTTGTATGTAATGATAAATATGAAATGTATTGATGAAATCTAGAGACGAACCGTGTGACCTTACAACCAATGGTTTATTCAATAAAGAAATAATTTTATTGGTTTCTGTTTAACATTATGATTGTCTAATTGTACTAGTTCCATAAGAAACTAGATATATTTTCCCTATATCAAAATTGTGTTTTTTTAACTACACAGTTTAGTTAAAAAAAGTTAAATAATCAATGCGATTTTTTTTAAATATTATTCATAATAATAATACTTTATCGCTGAATTCATCAAAATTTATAATCTGCCAGATTTTTCTGCTCACTGTAGAGCAAAGGATCTAAGTTAAAATGATCGATTCCACTACGTTAGCGTTTTTAACTTCTGCAAAATCTCTTCATTTTCAATTACGTAAGATAACATTCGCACCTAGTTTCAATATTCGGAAAAATTCTTTCAGCAGAACGGGAAAAATTTGGACTTTCTGTATTCATTAGGCTGCAATACTAATTAAATAAATAATCCCTAAAATCTGAAGCTGTAAGATATTAACTGATTAATAACTTCATTCGATTCAAAAATATACAAATAGGAAATAACAGTTGACATGTTTGAAGCATTTCAAAATACGCTCCCAATTTTTAGACTTATCAGACGAAAAGGAGAATAAAGTAAAAATGATTTCAAAGAAAAAACATTGCGTTGTAATAATTGATTACAGCGTAATGTTTTATTACAGTAGCTTACAGTTATAGTTTGTTATTTTAATTAGATTAGTTTTATAGCATATAATTTTAATTAGATTAAAATTATAAGCAATAATATGACATGCTGCTCGTGTTGGCAGAAACAACTTAAAAAAAAGACAGTTAAAAAGTATACGCCCAATTTAGCTTATATATCATTCAAAATTAAGATATTTTGAACAAGACTAGTTATAGTATCTGATGAGTGCCTGATCCAACAGAAAAAAAAGCGAAACAAGAAACCTAGATTATACTTTATAGACTACTTTATTTGAGAAATTAAAGAGTGCTTACCTGTTTCCTGGTAAAGTTAGAGGATATTTGCGAATTTGAGTAAGATTAGTAGTATCACAAATGAAACGAGATAAAGAATACTTCCTAATAGTCCTCAGTTGAGCTGAAAACATTATATAGTATAATATAGTATAGTATAAAATAGTATAGAATAGTATATAATGTTATGTGACATTATTCAGACACCAGTACAGTTTCAGATAAGCTCTTCTATTCCAGGATCTGGGAGTGTAATTTTTAGATCCATTGCAGGCACAAAATACTTGCCTGTACAGCAAACAGAATTTATTTCAGAGAGTGGAAATAGAAATTAATACACTTCTTTTCTAGAATATATTCAAATACATTTCAACTCTTAGAGGTTGTCATTTTCTTTAATGTTTTTCAGGTATTATTACATTCATTTTTTAATTGAAATAAGATTAGGACTTACGAATTTACAAATAAGATAAATGTCTGTATAGGGAATGCCGAGCAATGTCTCTTAACATTAAAGAAAACCAGTGCAAAGAGTACCGGGCAATGGTCAACCTTAAACATCATGGTTATTATTTATGACGAAGGCACAAACAGTGATTATACCCTGAAGGAATGTGTGGTCCAGGGCTCGAAAAACCGCCCGTCCTCGGCGGTGAAAAATCCTCCGCGGTCAACGAATTTCTCGAATCCGACGTCCGCGCGGACGGCCATTTTCCCGTTAATGTTTGTGATACATTTTAAATTTTTGTTATCTTTCTAGAGTCTAGCACCTCACTTCTAAAATGACCCTCTAATCTCGAAATCCCGTTAATTCCTTCGTCAGACCAAATGCCCATGCTGACGTTATTGGTAAACAAAAGAAAAGTTGCTCTGTGCATGTGCATTTGGACTTCTAAGGAAAGAATAAACAATTCCTCTGATCACGTACCACCCAGCTCGTGACGTTACTGTTGACTTCTCCTTGCTGCCTCCAATCATGGCCCTCAAATCCTGGCGCGCAGTTCCTCGAGTTACTGCTCTGACAGTCTGAGTCACAGTCACTCGTCATCTCGAAAGTTCTTGTCTCCCTTCCCTGGTTCTGAAAAAGCGAAAACGAAAGCGACCCGACTCCGCTTGCATTATTTACGGCAAAAAGATGAAACGGCGGCAAAGCATTAGCAATTATTTTGTTAGCGGAATCGGAAACGATACCAATAAAAAGGTGAAAACTATTCCAGAAAAGAGTGGTCCATCCGAAGATATTGAAAAAAATGAAAATCGTCATCAAATTTACGACAAAGAGAAGAGAAAGCGACCATTTCTAGAGATTTGGCAAAAAGAATTTCCATGGGTGGAGTTCCGTGAGGAAGAACAAAAAACGTATTGTAAGTGGTGCACAGAAGTCCCTAATTTAGCGGATAAAAAAAGCCCTTTATTAAATGGAGCAGGTGGAACAGCACAAGGGTTCCGTAAAGAACACGCATGATGTCAGCAAGTGTCATAATAAATGCAAAGAAACTGTAAAAGCTAAATCCAATCCTACAAAAACGGCGATGGCAGTAGCAATCAGAAAAATGAACTCTGCTAATTTTGAGAAAATGAAAATGTTATTTAATACAGCTTACTACATTGTGAAAGAAAACTTGGCGTTTTCAAAATTTAAAAGTCTGTGTGAACTGCAAATAAAAAACACTTTAGACCTGGGACACGATTATTTCAATGATCATGCACGCAAAAATTTTATTTCTCTCTATTGCTCACACATTGCAGAGTGAGTTAGCTCATGAAGTTAATGAAGCAAATTTCATAACAGATCTAGCAGATGGATCAACAAATCGAAGTGCTCTTGAGAAGGAAGCTATTTATGTGAGATACGTCCAAAATGGTGAATCAGTGACAAAATTGGCAGGTTTCGTCGCAGTGGATAATGCTGACAGCGAAGGAATCTGTAAGAGCAATTTAAAAGGTCAATTGGATATTGGCCTTTCTGAATCAGAGTTAGAAAAAAAACTGGTTGGTTAAATTTAGATGGAGCTGCAACAAATATGGGTTTTTATAATGGAGTTCAAGCAATGTTTAAAGTAAAATATCCACATCTAATAGTAGTGCCTTGCATAAACCACATGTTAGAAACCACAAAGAAAAAGAAATACTATATGGTTATATTTGACACCACTGTTAAACAGGTATTCAGCCTTTACCACTGGTCCCCAAAACGTCAAAGGGAACTAGCTAAGATTGCTGAAATGCTGGAAATAAAATTGTTGAAATACGGAGGACTACAAAATATTAGATGGGTTGCTAGTCAAGCTAGAGCCTTAAAATCTTTGGTTTTGAACTTCGAAGCCACTTTACTTCATTTGAAAGACATTGCTCAACGTAGCGAAAAAGAAAGTGCTACTGCAAAAAAATTGTTGAAGACTCTGAGATCGGATAAATTTAAAAAAAAACTCAATTGTTTCTTTTGGATTTTTTTATCTATTATTGGCATTTTGTCCGAGATGTATCGAGCTGAAAATCTACTAATATTTGAAGCTGCCAGCAAACTTGAATTTGCACATCTACAGTTAGTTGAACTGAAATCTCAGCCGGGATTTTACCAAAGGGAACATGAAAATTTAATAGATAACTGTGATGAGGATATCGATCCCATAATTGCAGCTGATTTTATTGATAGTACTGTTGAATTTTTAGATACTAGATTCAAACAGCTGCAAGAACCTCCTGTGTCGTATTTTCGTGTATTTGATTTCACCGAGTGGCCATCTGAAATCTTTTGGCAACCAAAACATGCAGATGTTACTTGAACATTTTACTTGCTTTTTTTAAAGGAGTAGATAAAGAAAAGTTTTCTCAAGAATGGGTGTCATTAAAATTTAAAATACATAACATCGTTAAACACCAGAAAACTTCAGCCCTCCAAGTCCAAGCTATCTATAAAGACCTAATGCAGCAAAGTGACCCACAATACAGCAACATACTGCTCATGGTGGAATTGATGTTTTCTCTGTCTGGGAGAACTGCTGCAGTTGGAAGGTTCTTTGCAGCAATGAACTGACGAAAAAGCACATTACGCACTGGTCTTAAACAAGAAGCGTTAAACGCAATTATGAACATCTACCTAAATGGAAAACCCGTTTCAGATTTCTGTGCAGAAACCTCTGTAAATCATTGGCTTGATTGTGGAACTGGCAAACGTCGTATTAGATTCATTTAAAAATCGCAGTACCCTCGGATAGATTGACATTCCAGGTAACTTGACCTTTGTCATTTAAACTATTTCATAGAAGAAATAAATTATTTCATAAAAGAAATGCAAGGTTACTAGTAACCTAGTATTTCTTTTATTACTGTGCAATGTAATCTTAGTATTTGTAGTCCTAGTAACTACTAATTCATTGTGCAATTTATATAAATGTAAAAAATAAGAGAAAATTATATATTTATTTATTTAGAAGCTACGGGTTAGTTTCAAATGAGGACGGGTACATTGTTGGACAAGCCGTCCTCGGGGACGGGTAAAATTTCTGAGTTTTTTCTAGCCCTGATACCCGTAAATAAAACTAATGAAGGAATAATTGGTTCACGATTCAATTGTAACCAATGATAACAGGGATGTAGCCCTGTTATAATATATATATCTATATATAACNGAGCATCTAAAGCACTCCATGCAACACCAGCTGGTTAGTTCCCACGAATGTAAACCTAGAGTCGACACGCAACCAGAGGCAGCAGACAATCATGAACCAGACGTTTCCATTACAAAATGCTCCCAAATTAGGGCTGCCAACTTTGACATAGCAGTTTTGATAATATCTGTAGCATTCTAGGAGACTACATTTTTAAAGTCAGGATGATTGTTGGAAAACTTTGTTTGAGGAATAAATATATGTTTACTTATATAAGAAGATTTAAAAATAACAAATGTTTGGAACAATATTTCTAGAAAACTATAATAAACTGAAACTTGTTTACTTCACATTCAAATATATATATATATATATATATATATATATATATATATATATGTATGTTACGGTGAAACACCGAAATCTGGAGAATGTCAACATTCACGTAGACGCTTGGTGTATGTCCGAAATATTTGATATATCCAATTTTATATTAATTCATTCGTTAATATTATATTTATTTGATATATTTATATTTATTCAATATTTTAATACTTACAGACGATAGATTAGAAGAAACATCACTTAACCTTCACACTTTTCTGAATTTAGACACTTCCGCTGGCAACCCAAATCCCCAGACATGAACATTATTGAACATTTTCGGGATGCCTTGCAACGTGATGTTCAGAAGATATCTTCACCCCCTCCAACTCCCACTGGTTAATGGAGAGCCCTGCAGGATTCATGGTGTCAATTATCTCCAGCACTACTTCACACATTGATCGAATCCATGCCACGTCATGTTGCGGCACTTCTGCGTGTTCGCGGGGGCCCTACACCATATCAGGCAGGCATACCAGTTTTTTTGGCTCTTCAGTGTATATATATATATATGCTGTGTTACCGTGAGTGACCGAAATTAAGAGGATGTCAACAATCACATAGTCGCTTTGGGGAATGTCCGAAGAATTTGTTATATCCGACTTGATATTAATTTATTCCGTGATATTATTATATTTATTCGTTATTTTAATATCTGCTGAGGATATATTAGGAGAAAAATTAGTGTTCGGAGTATCGAGCAGTGGCACGTGACCTTAAAAAAGCGTCAGTGTAGGGCATACTGGATAGTGGCGCTTCGCTAGACCTAGTATATATATTTCGGACATTTACCAAAGAGACTACGGTATTATCAACATTCACCGTTGGAAGTCAACAACCACCCATTTCCGTCATTCAGAGTAACAACTATTTCATAATTATTTATAAATGCAGATTCTTAGTTTATATTAGAATTTGTCGTATAAAAGAAGAATGAAATAAATTTTATTTACCTCTAGTGAAGGGATACCTTCCATTTTCATGGGTAAAGAAAAAGCTGTCTCCATACTTCATACGATGGAAGTGGGCAGATGATATGCAGGCAGCGGTTGGACCCGTGACCACATTTTTCAATTCTCTCTCTAATATCAGGCCAACCCATAGATCTATGTCCCGCACGTCCCTAGGAAATACATTCGAATAAAAACATTCCTAGATAAAAACATTCGAATAATTATGTCATTGTCCATTTGAGGTCTATCGAAGCAAGGTATACTAGTTGGATGTGGCTTTGCTGCTCCAAGCTGGTGATACAAACAAAATCCTAGTAAGATAATAAGTATAGTGCGGCTTTCAGGAGAACTCCTCCAGACACCCGTCGCGCATAGTGGCGGATGCTGTGGTTACGAGAAAAGGACACTTCGAGTAGGGGTGTGGGGTGCATAGTTTTGTCTTAATCTCGACATAGGTCGACGTGAGTAAACCAATCGACACCTTCTTTCCTCCATTTCATCGTCATTAGAAATTTGCTCTCGTATGTAACCATAGTAGCAGACAGCCCCAGACTTTTAGCCTGGAGGAATTCTCCTCAAAGCGGCACTATATGCAAGTAAACGTAACTAATGAAAACCTGTTTCTGGTACATGCACACAAGAGAAAATTAAGGAAGGGAGACATTGAAAACCTGAAATCAGTATTCATTCAGAGAGGAGTCAGCATGATCACAAGGACGGGAATTCAATAAGGAAAATTTCATTTCAATTTTTAAACAATATTAAATGGCGGTTGAAGTTCGTTTGAATTTCGAACACAGAGGATTGACCCTCAATATGCTCTTTTGTTTACGGGTATTTTAAAAAAAAACTTGATCTGGGGTATTTACATAAATGCAAGCTTTCCTTTCGTTCGAGAGGATGAAGCACGTCAATGACTGTGTTTTGGACTTTTTTCTTATATTCTCAGGGGAGCCGTGACGGCTCAGGGGATAATGCGTTCGCCTTCCAATGAAATGAACCGGGCTCGAATTGCAGCGATGGCTAGTCGATACGAATTTCACACCCGGCTCACACCGACCACAGTGCTGTCGTAAAATATACTCAGTGGTAGACGGATCATAGGTTAGAGTCCCTTTACCTTCAGGTTAACCATTAGAGGCTTCCTGGTTTTTCCTCTCCATGTCACCCAAATGCGGGCTGGTTCCATTAAAATGACCTCCACGAAGGCAAATTTCTCTCAATACTAGATCCAGAAATTCCCTGGTCTCCTGGATTGGATTTAAAATGACAAGACTACGGAATTGAGCATTATTAGTCGTAAACCCAAAATTGGTTCGGCTGTTCAACGACGGTTATAAAATAAAATATATCCTGACGGAGTGGAGAAAGCCTGTAGTGTTTATAGGTTTTTGTTGGCATCTGCAGTTTGAGGTTTGCTAAATAGTATTTTGTGTGTGTTTGGGTCAGTTGTGCAATTGTTATTGCAAATATCGAGGACATTTTATTACAGAATATTCAAGTACTATCAAAGATAATAAATTATGCATTTCTGCACTTTTAATTGTGGTAATGATTTTACATAAATTTTTGAATGAAATTCGGCTTTAAGGGAAAATCGCCCGGTCCATTGAGTACTCTTTGAGCAAACTGGTCATAGGGAAGCACTTTTTTCACCTGTCTTGAATGGATAGTAAAACTTTCAAATAAAATTGATCTAAAACTGTACTCACCTATATATGCTCTCGAGCAAACGGATATTTTCCGTAGTCATTAATTTCGATAAATCGGAAAATTCTGTTATCTTGATTTTCCCATTTGAGCAATTCTTTACCATATCAATATAAACTGGTAGTCCGTGGTCTCTTCCTCTGACAATATTTAGCGCTGCCATATCATCCCCATAAGTCCCGCCTGGTGGCCTGAAATAAAAATACAGTTCAGCTTTTCTGAATCTCCTTCTGAAACGATTTCATATTTAAAGGTATTGATAATTTGGAAGAGCAAAGGATTCATAATAAACTCCAATCGTGTCTGTAAATTCTCCTTAATCTATAAATTCAAGGTATTCTATATATCCAATGTAATTTATAAATTCTAGCCGTGATGGCTGAGCGGTGAAAGGCACTGAGCGAAGAACTGACGTCAGATCCTGAGACACCCACCCAGCTTCAGATCGATGGGTACCCCGCTTGGCTGGATATTAAAGGTTATCCTATTACCAAAATTATGCCGTTGGTTTTGCAATGGTGGAGCGCACGACTCCCACCACCCATCCATGACTAACTGACGGACTGTTTAATTTTTATTCTATAAATCCTACTTCAAATTCGCTACAAGATTAATTTCAAAATATTTCATTCGATTTAAAAAAATTCCATGGTAGAAAAATTTATGATTCATTCGATCTTTTTAAAATGAATGCATATAAGATTGACACGAGACATGCGTTTTTCAGTGAAATTCGATACAGACAAGATTTTTTTCATAAATCTGCTAAAAATTAGGTCATGGCAAGATTAATTTGTTGAGTTGTAAAAAGTTTGAGCAGATTAGATTTTTGCATGGCCTGTTAGATTTTAAAAAGAATCGTATAAGGCAAGATTTCAATATTATTTCTGTGATTCACAGTGCATATTAAGTTTAAATTTGGAACGCTAGATTCTAAAATCTAGGTACGGTAAAACGGGCAAGTTTTGCATTCGGTTTGTTGAAATCTAATATCGATATGTATGGGAAGTTTTTGATATAGTTTTATTCAATTCTAAGAAAGTAAGTGAGCATAAAATTTCAATATGAATAGCTATGTTCAAGAAACTGGAAGAAGGCGATATTTCAATATGAAGTACATATGGAAGAATAAATTATACTTTAGAGCAGGGGTAGGCAACGCGGCGCCCGCGGGCGCCATGGCACCCCCGATCGATTTTTAATGCGCCCTCAATGGAATAATGTAAATGTATGATAGCCAGAGCGATTTACTTACTCTTGTCAAACGGCGATATACAGCAAGTAATCAGTTGAGTTTAGGATTATGCATAGATTAGCAGTTTGCTAACCTTGAGCGTATCTAATAACACGCGCGTATTTTTTGTTAGTGAGTGATCGTATTTCGAATAGACCACGCGTAGACCGTGCATTTAAAACTACCAAGTAATCCGAAATAATTCTTTTCTTTCAAAACCCTTTGTTGAAAGCTATGAACTGGATCCTAAATTAAACAGTGATCTAGTTTGGATGGGTGATCTAGTTTCGCCACTGATGTAGTTTCCTACGCATCAGCTAGGTTAACTGTGACTGTATTGTAACTTGTCGTTTCAGTTTCAGTTTGCTTTTATGTTTGAGCTTCTGTTTGTTTATCTTTGGTATAATGCTTCGTTGCTATGCTTTCGTTATGTTTTAAATAATAAACGTTGTTAAGTTTAATAACGTTGTGTTTCTTTTTAAAATAGAGTTGTTATAGTTCTAGTTTTTTGTGTTTTAACACCCTTCATGGATAAATGTAAAAGAAAAAGAACATATTATTTTAACGATGAATGGGAACATCTATATTGTTTCGTTGATTACAAAGGGAAGTGTATTTGTTTGTTGTGTAATAATAGTATTGCGATTCCCAAGAAAAGTAATATTGAACGACATTTTAAGACCTTTCATACCAATTTTGATAGTGACTATCCAATGAACTCTGAAATTAGAAGAAAAAAAATTATTTCTTTAAAATCTTCACTAACTAACCAGCAAAGTTTTTTTTTTACTAAACCACTGCAAGAACATAAAGCAGCAACGATCGCGTCATATAAAATATCGCATTTGCTAGTTAAGAATGAAAAACCATTTACAGATGGAGAATTAGTGAAATAAACCATGTTAGAAGCTGCTGATTCACTTTTTGAAGAATTTAAAAATAAAAAGGAAATAGTTTCAGCTATAAACACGTTGCAATTATCAGCACGAACTATTACTAGAAGAATTGAAGTAATTGCGGAGAATTTGGAGGCAGAATTAGCAAATGATATGGAAAATTGTATTTTCTTTACGCTACAGCTGGATGAATCGACAGACGTGACAAATATATCACAATTAGCAATTTGCGTGAAGAGAGTATTTTCTGATTTTACAACAAAAGAAGAATTCCTTAAAGTTTTGCCATTAAAGGGAAGCACCAGAGGAGAAGATATCTTTTCTACTTTTAAAAAGTATATAACAGATGTAAAATTACCTGTGCAAAAGTTATCGTCAATTACAACAGACGGGGCACCAGCGATGACTGGTAAGAAAAAAGGATTTATTGCCTTATGTAGACAGGATTCCTTATTCCCGAAATTTATTTCTTATCATTGCTTCACACATCAGGAAATGTTATGCGCAAAAACAATCGATTTTCAACACGTATTTACGATAGCAACAAAAATTATTAATTCCATAAGATCTGGAACTATGCAGCACAGATTGTTTAAATAACTTTTAGAAGATGAGGGCGTTCAGTTCACAGATCTTTTTTTACATACTGAAGTGAGGTGGCTGAGCAGAGGTAAAATACTTGAGCGGTTTATCATGCTTTTGCCACAAATAAAGGAATTTATTGCATCAAGAGGCGAATTTTACGAGCAATTAGAAAATAAGGATTGGCTAATCGACCTCGGATTTCTGACAGATATAACGGCAAAGTTGAATGAATTAAATTTAAAAATACAAG